CACACACACACACACACACACACACACACACACACACACACACACACAACCCTCCCACAGTCATCCCCCACACACAACCTTCCCCCCCCCCCACAAACCTCCCACACCCACACACCCATACCCCCCTCCCACACCCATACACACACGCCAAGAGACCCACCTGTAGTAAGGGAATCGGTCCATTATGAACCTATAGATGCCTGCGAGGGTGATCTTCTGCTCCGGACAGTTCCTGATGGCCATGGCGATGAGGGCGATGTAGGAGAACGGGGGTTTTTGGTGCACTGGGGGAGGATGTGTAACCATGGTAAGTAAGAGAGATATATACTGTATGGATGTATGGATGTATGGATGTGTGTGTGTGTATGGGTGTATGTGTGTGTGTGTGTGTGTGTGTGTGTGTGTGTGTGTGTGTGTGTGTGTGTGTGTGTGTGTGTGTGTGTGTGTGTGTGTATGTATCTTTCTGTCTATCTGTCTGTCTGACAGACAGACAGACAGACAGACAGACTCTCTCTCTCTCTTTCTCTCTCTCTCTTTCATTGTGTGTGAGTGTGAGTGTGTGTGTGTGTGTGTGTGTGTGTGTGTGTGTGTGTGTGTGTGTGTGTGTGTGTGTGTGTGTGTGTGTGTGTGTGTGTGTGTGTATTCATCTACATATATATTTATACAACCATTATGTATAATGTAATATCTATTTATGCATTTACTGCCTACCTAAGTGTGATGTATATTGTATCAATCAATATATCTGCCAACACACACACACACACACACACACACACACACACACACACACACACACACACACACACACACACACACACACACACACACACACACACACACACACACACACACACACACACACACACACACACACGTAATTAGGACTAAAGTGTGAAATAATAGCGATGGTATGAAGATGAGTAAAAAAAAAAAAAATGAAATGATATATAACGAAAATATTAATAATAAAAATAACAGGAAAAATAAAAGACTAAAATTAATTCAAATAATAATAAGGGTAAAGTGAAGGCGAATTTTAAAATCCTTATACTTTATGACAGTGACTTTGATAAGGATGATCATATTCCATAATAATTAGGCTAATCATGATAACCAGAATAATGATGATCATGATAATAGGAAAATGATAATAATAATAATCACAATGGTGAAAATAATGTACATAATGGTGAAAATAATGTACATAATGGTGAAAATAATGTACATAATGGTGAAAATAATGTACATAATGGTGAAAATAATGTACATAGTAGTACTATTGCAACCACTAATAATACATAATAAAATAATAATGATAATAATCGGTTTATTGATTTTCATGCAGGCAGTGGCTGAAAATATACATATAGATGATGATGATAGTGATAATATTCATAATGGCATTAATGAATGTAAATAATACTGATGATAATGTTGATAATGAGAATATTAATAACAATATAGTAATTATTATTATTAACATTATTATCACTATTACTGCTGCTACTACTATTTAATACTTCTATTACTGATAATGGCAATAACAAGTATGGCAACAATAATATTAATCACAACCATTGTTATGATGATATGATAAAAATAATAGTGATAATAGTATCGATAATAATAATATTGATAACAGCAACAGTGAAAATGATAGTGACAATAAAGATAGGGAATTTATAATTACAATAATAATAATGATAATAATATCAATAATTGCAATAAAAATAATGATTATGATATCAATAATTTCAATGATAATGATAATAATGATAATAATTATTATCATATAAGTAGTAGTAGTAGTAGTAGTAGTAGTAGTAGTAGTAATAGTAGTAATAACAATAATAATAACAATAATAATAATAATAATAATAATAATTATTATTATTATTATTTATCATTATCATTATTATCATAGTAATAATAATGATAATAATAAGAAGAATGAAATAATAACCATGTGATTATATTAACAATGACATTGATAATGATAAGAATATAAAAAGCCACATCACACACACCAAAGCATCAAAAACTGCAGTAACTGATGATATACAATGTGCCAGCAACTGATCAAATGCCATTCATAAATGATGATTTCTCCTCTACTAACTCCTATAACAGATAGTCTTAGACTCCTTACTTAGTGAAAAAAAGGTAATTTGCATTAGAGGAAATTAAAAACTGCATGCATCGCCAAATATGAATGAATCTCACCTTCCGATTCTTGTCCAGCGACGCCCAGCCTGCATGGCGGAAACAGAAGAGAGGCGGGAATCGTCGGCGTGTATGTCGCGGGAAGAGACGACGAAAGAAGCTGCGATAAATAGATCTGGGAAGGATAAACGGACGAAAGAGGGAGAGTAGGAAACACGGAAGTGCTGGAAACTGCAGGATTCATCGTACGTGGCAACGAAATGCCTAAAAAAAAATATATATCCTTATGGGTTTCACGTCGCGATCTCTTCGGCGCAACGTTACAACTCGACAA